GAGATTTTCTTCACTGAAACCTTTTGTTCCCACCGCAAATTAATAAATAAATAAAAAATAATAACGAAATGTTTTTAACAACTTCCTTACATATTCCATATCACCTAACTATTTGAAAATAAATCATCGGATATGAGCAGTGTCATGTATACACTAGATAGATGTAAAAGACTAACACAAACAAACAAACCTAAATTCCCTAAAATTACTATTCATCATACCTCATTTGTCTTTTTTAGCCTTTAGAAAAGTGGCTTAATTCCATTGGGAAATTTAATCTATTTGTTTAGTAAATACGAATTTTCACTAGAGGAAAATTAATTATTTAATGCAAGACACTGATAAAACTAGTGATGTAAATAAATTGAAAATTTGGTTTACAAAAGAAAAAAAACAAGATGAAAATTTGAATACAGTTTTTTTTTCAAATTTGTTTTCTACAGTCTCACGTCGAAATTCTTCTGCTTGTTTAAGTCAACTGTCTGTTCACAATATCGTGTATTTTTGCTTAGTACAAACGTTTGCCTAATCTGTTGACATCTAGTGGTTAAGTGATTTTATAGTTAGTAGGGAATATTGAACAGTACGCCCTAGACTGTGTGCTGTCTGCGTCTCAATCTCTCAATCCCTCGTATCTAGATCATGTTCATCAACTCACTAGGTTACTTAATGAGGAAGGACAGATAAGAGTGTAACTTTAGAATTACCACTTAATCAAAAATGTCTACATTCAGAAGCATAAACAGATAGAAAGAGCTCGTTTCCTTTGCCTGTTTTAGAAATGCAGTACACACTGTCTTATTTATTGCAACACCTTACAGGTTCTGAGTGACAGTGATCACGTCGATGCTTATAATATTCATAGTACCTTGTTCTTTTGTCATGTAGGAGCGGTAAAGTGTTTGCTTTAAAGTATCACTATCTTATAAAAATCAGCTAATACGAAAAAAAGATTTTGTAAGGAATCAACACCGGTTAAGAAAACTGGTGGAATCAATCAAATGCCTAGTAATTTAAAAATTGATACACTCCCTACATTTTTATTATTGGTTACCAGGTAAACTTATCTAAATAATGTCAGTTTGTAAAGAAATCTAACATGACAGCATCAAATTCTTGAAACTGCAGACTTGAAAATCGTCTAAATTAGTTTATTCACATTGCGTCGTTGGCACAGGGGTTAGGACACTCGCCGACCATGCATATGGTCCGGGGTTCGATCCCCAGCCGACGCACACCTGATATCAGTTGTTGGCCTGGTAAATTTGGCCTACCTATATCACATGCTGAAAATTTCATACTTCTATCAAAAATACGGTGTGGAATCAAGCTATAATCAAAAATAAAAATAAAATAAATAAAGTTTATATTAAGATATTTTTATATTAAACTATGTCCTTCTAGTAAACTGTTTCGTATTTTTATCGAAATACTAAATTCGGAAAGTTAACTGATCAAGTTTCAGTATCGATTAATCAAGTTCATTGAAAGAAATATCCACTTTCTTATTTAGTTCTATCGAAAATTCATCTTTCTACTTACAGGCAACAGATTACTATTGCTAAAATAAGCTGGTTTCATTAACTGGTTAGAGGATTTCATCATGAGCTGACATCACTCAGGGAACTGTTCGAAAAACTGCAAGGAGTACTGGACAGCTGTTTCGTCCTAGTTTGGGACTCTTCACAGTACGCGCTCACCACACGAGGTTTGAACCCAACACCTTCTGGTAGCACCTTCGTAGATTACATAGACACTGGGACCGGCCGATCCACTGGCCAGCCCATGAATTCTTACTTCTTCCAGTTCACCACAAAGCGCGACCACTTCGCAATGTCTTCTTCACCTATTGCTGAAGAGCCTAAGCTAAGACGCAACTGTTGTTCAGTACCCCTTGGTGGTTTTCGAATGGTTCTCTAGCTGATGTCGGCTCATAATAAATTCCTCTAATCAATCAGACGAAAATCCTTACAAAAACCAATACTTGGTTTCATTAAATTATGTATCAATTATAGTAATTAATGCATACTTGCCTGGAATATCGTCGGTGGCACAGCGGTAGAACGTTCGTCAACTGCGCCTCATGTGATCTCCGGCCATAGACGCACTCCTTTGCCTAACTAACCCACTAGTAAGACAGGTAAAGTGGGAAGGTTGGGCATGAGTCTAGCAACTGCATCCCTTAAAAATAAATACCACTGTTACCGAAACTTTAATTCTCTAGCTTGAAGCCCTGTGTTCCACTGGGAACGTAAAGGAATAAAAAAAACAGTTAGAATATGAAACGGTGAGTGTCAGTATTCGCTAGAAACTGTTGACTTTCCTAATAAATGGATTATTTATACTATTTTTTGTAACAGACGGTTGTCATTAAATTAATTATACGTATCTACATTCACAAAATTCGATTTTCTGTCAGTTGAGACAATATGTATACAAAAGTTATTTGTGGCGCAATATTTCCTGAAAGCGGAATAATTTTAATCTTATACATTAACATCAGCCTGTCTTAAAGATGAAATAAAATTTCTATCTTTTCTTTAACTTTGAGGTAATATTCTTCTTAAACATTAGTTTATTGATAAATGATCAAATGTTTTCTTTCATCGAAACACGCATCAAACACCTGTACACATAAAGTGGAATTCACACGAACAATAAAAAAGAACAGAAAAAAAATGATTCAACTAACGACTTAAAGATTGAAGCATAGCCTGGTTATCCCTGTAAATTTTGTGAGGTTGTATACCTTGAGCTGAAAAAGAATATCCTTCATATGCCTTTGTTCTAAGTGTAAAGAAAACTATTAACTGCTTATCTCAGCTTTAGGTGGCTATATCAGAATAGAAGAAAACTGCGTTTTTCTCTCTGATTGTGTAATTATGAGTGAATAAGGCTTTTGTTAATTGTGTTACAACACACTTTCACTATGTTTTTTTGAACCAAACTTTGCAAGGAAATCTTCAATTTCTCGAAGTTCAATAAAATTAGAATACCATAACAGTATTACTGATTAGTAACTGTTCTGAAGTGCAGTAAACTGTTTAAGGCTGATTACAATATAAAGTTAATCTCAACTCCTTTCCTTATGGTGCTTAGTTTATATGCAGCCTTCTTTCTCCTTTCATCTCTTTGCTTTCCCAGTGGAACACAGGCCTTCAGGCTTCAGCTTTAAAGTTCCAGTAATGTGAGTTTTAGTTTTTACGAGATAAAGTTGTCAGCCTCAAGTCCGACCTTCCCTTCATATCAGGCTTGCTACCGGCTAGGCAAGTTTTAGGAGTGTGCTGGCCAAGTGTATCGGACCCAGACCATGTGTGTAGATGGAGAGGATTCTGCAACCGAGTTGTCGACCCACATGAAATCATACATAGTTTAATCTTTTTATTCCATGAATTTGATTGTTTTACCTTCTGGTGATTAAGACACTTGATTTGTTTGTCTTTATATCTATTTACTGGTTAGACTGCGAATGAAAACTACTGGGTATCTGTTAGACGAGAAATCTGAGTAGACAGAAGCTTTGTTACAACATGAAACACTCTAATCAATGGTCTTTGTTCAGTTCATTTTTACTAACTTACATATTGCTCAGATAATTGAGCCGCAAGCTACCTGCCATTATCCAGATATTTGACTAACTTCACATTTGTACCTCAGGAAGTCCACCCGGTATTCAATTACCACTGTGAAGTTGATTCATTTTTAAATCCCTATAAGCCAACACTTTAAGTTTATTTAACTTCACCTAAGTGAGTGACCAGCGGATGGATTTCTTTGTAGTTTTAACAAACAGTCATAAATGACGACGTTCACTTTGGTGGGTCACTGGATTCCAATGACCAAAATGCCCATTAAATAATCCAAATATTCTGAGTTCAATTCCTAACACGTCAGTGGAAGTAAATTGTTACGATGAAATGGCTGTTCAGTGCTTCTTGGTTCCCACTGATTCTATAACTGCTGTCGATCTTGGTTGAAATGGAAACTATTTCACAGATTTGAAAACAAATGACTCAACTTCAAATACTTGTCGAATGATACGACTGTCTTAAATCTCGTCCCATGTAGGGAATCAAAATCACCGATTTAACAGTTTTTTTCTTATGTATATTTATTTTATCCTTTCGTCTAGTAAAAGCCTTTGAAATCTGGTGTTAGATTCTGTTGTGTATCGACTTATATGTGGTGAAGCGTCACAAATAATAGGTAACGGTAATGGGTTGGTTCGCTTGCGATATACTATCAATTAATATTTTACTTGAAGACCTTGTTTGAAGAGTAAATTTATTATTATATTTATTGTTCCCTTGGGTTCCTAATGGAACATAGAGCTTCAACTGCACGTCTCCACTTGCTTCTGTCTTCTGCTGTACTTTTCACCTGAATCCATGTTAGTCCATACTCTTTTAACTCCTCTTCACACGATCTCCTCCATATGTAACCCTTGCACTGACGACCCACTCGCCGCTTCCCTTTCAGCCTGGTTCTACTCAAGCAATAGTCTGATGCACGCGCAACGTCACCCAGTGGCAGTCTCACTCAGCGAGTGTCCAACCCATCTCCACTTTCTCCTGCATATTTGTTGGGCGGCGATTGGTTATTGTTTTGTTTGTTTGTTCCCATAGTTTCTTGTTGGTGATTCTTTCCGGCCCGGCCATCCGGTCTTCAGTATAGAGCCAGCGAAGACAGTTAGTTGTTGATAAAGGTCTGCATGCAACAGGTTGTTGGAAATATTCTTCGTGACCCGCCCGCCGACTTTCTGATCCGTATAGAAGAACTCTGAATATTATACCACAAAATAAATTGCTTTTTTTTACTGTGAGTAGACACATTGTCCAGAATAGATCTGTTATTATCACAATTGTTGTATTTAAGTTTTATTCAAATTGTTGGCACACAGACAGTAGTGCTGCAATTCAGGTTACAGTCACGGACAGTTTTCTTACCATTTCACACATTTCCATACATTTGTTTGTTTTGTCGGTTACTTTTTTCTTTAGGAAATTATCTATTCTAGCCAGCGCTAAAGCTCAAAACCATACTATGCCTTCGGATATGATAAATTCCAACTTGGTTGTCTTACAGCATATTGGATGTGGTGTTATACCTGATTATATTTTGAAAATGTTAACTGTGCTAGAAAAGAAATTACAAAACGGCTTAGTATCAATCTCAGAATTACTTGGCAGTGAGAAGATCGGGGGTGGCAAGAACCTTGATAACATCAAAGTAAGAAATATTAATTTTTTCTTTAACTAATTATAGATATTCATGTATCCTCGAATGTTAAATTATGACTAGTTGCACGGCAGAGACAGTATAATGAGATATTCTGTGCGTCGGTGGCACAGTGGTTAGGACTCTCGCCGACCATGCACATGGTCCGGGGTTCGAGCCCGCACCGACGCACACCTGATATCTATGGTCGGCCTGCAAAATTTGGGCTACCGATATCCATGCTGAAAATTCCATACTTGTACCGAAAATACAGTGTGGAATCAAGCTGTAAATCAAAAAAAATAAAAAAATAAAAAACACATTCATTCTCTGTAATCCTGACAGGTTGTAGAGTTGTGGAAACAATCAAAAGAGAATTGTTCTGTCTTCTTCAAACAACACAACCTTTAACCAAACCAATTTCTTCTCCTAACTCTCTATATGACAATTTCTAAATGATAATTTTATTGAAGAATAATTGGTACATTTAGGAGCAAAGAAGAAACCATATAAATGACAACGCTAAAACAAAAAATAAAGATTAATTTTTACTTCGTTATACAAACAAAAATAAAAGCGGGACAAAAAATCTTGAATTAGCATGATATAAGTGAAAAGCGAACAGAATTTAGATAACAGGATTGTTTGTAGGTCGCTATACACTATGCACTACGATCGTTTTGTGCCCAGGAAATAAGCGGATAAACAGAACTTTTGTTTTTACAAATGAGGCAGAAGAATGAAAGGGGAGAGAAGGTTTACAGTGTTGACAGATTGTATTCAACACTTGCAGCGTGTCAAATATGTGATAACAACTGCCTTAATGCGGAATTTCAGTCGGCTGTCATTTCTTTCTTTTTCTGTTTGACAAGTAAACCAATCTACCATAAATTAGAGATTTATGAATTTACTTAATAATGGTCTTTACAAAGAACTAAAATTCGATTAAACCAAAGTTTTTGAAGAAGAGAAGATGCAGTTAACGAGATTTCTGTCAAGATTTAAAAGTAGTGTTTTTCTTTCACACCAAAAGCACAAATCGAATTGACTTAGAGCCAGATTAACAGAAAACTGTATCTTCATAATTGAGATCAATGAAAGACAGCATTATTTTTGCTTTTTTTACACTTTTTATTTTTATTTTATTTTTTTATTTTTGATTACAGCTTGATTCCACACCGTATTTTTGGTACAAATATGGAATTTTCAGCGTAGATATCTGTAGCCGAGATTTTGCAGGTCAACCGTAGATATCAGGTGTGCGTCTGCGAGGGCTTGAACCCCGGACCATGTACATGGTTGGCGAGCTTCCTAGCCACTGTGCCACCGACGCAGTGAATAAAGTGAAAATAACATGGAAAAATTTGTCATAATCTTGTGTGTACTCATTAGTAAATAGAAAATGAAAAACTAACAGATACATTCATGTTTTCAGTTAGCAGACTTAAGGTTAATCGTAGGGAAATGGCATCTTTCTAGTATATGCTGTGATAACGTACACGTAGATCATTAAATGTCCCATGATCATTTGAATTCTCTTAATGAAACATTCTCGGTTTAGCATCAGAGGTTGATTCAAACCAGGCGTACGCAGATAAAACTTCACTTATTTGCCTAACAGCACTATACTGACAAATAAATTTTTTAAGTGTTGGTTTGTAGGGATTTGATAAATCGGATACAGGATTTCATCATATGCTGACATTGTTCAGAGAACCATTGGAGGACCTGGGAGTACTAGAACCCCCAGAACCTGAATAGGGCAAGTCGCTAGTGAGAATCGCATATTTTCTGAATTGCTACAAACAACTTTTTGCCATCAGTTCAGTGATTTGATTTCAGTAAACCAGTGTCTAGGGAGGTAAACTCAGAGTCAACTTGTTTGTTTTTCTCTAAAACTTGTTCTGAATTCTAAGATATTAAAAACAAGTTTAAGCAATTTGAAACCTCTGTCTTCATGTTGACCCCCCCCCCTCCAATCTAACTAACATCCTTCATGGTTTCAAATAGAAAATCATTATGTCTAAATGAAATGACTGCTGAGATTCACTTACCTGACGCCGCACACACACACACACACATCATATCTGATAAGGAGGAGAAGGCGGTAGAAAGTCGCAGCTGTAGTATCCGTGGTAATTAATGCTTACCAGCCAAAAATCACAATAGGATAACTGATTCGATAGAGTTGAGTCATTACTAAACACTAAATAAAATGACATTTGTTATTCCGAAATGACAAATCGACGTATATCCACTTCCACGAAAGTCACCGCATTAGCTTGAAAAGTAACTAGATACATAAGATCACCGTACCTAGACATATGGAAATGAAACACATAAACGTATACAGCTGTAAAACGGATTGTTTTTTTTTTTGAAACATTCACATGATAGTAAATGAAATGACTGTCATCGTTCAGTATCTAATTACAACGACAGACTATTTTGGTCATTGAGTAAAAGTAGTTTTTATTTATTACTAAATCTATGATATTTCTATATAGATGATATTCGAAAAAAAAAACACAGCGTGCTTTGATAGGTATTCTGTTATTATGACACCGAATAACTATGTAATAATAAAACTTAGACAAATATTATGAACATAAATGGTGATTATATACGATAGTTAGAAAATATTACAATCGCTGTCGGTTTATTGTAACTCATAAAAACGGTATTTAGGAGATACCCGATTGGTGAAAGTCGGCAAAAAAATGAAGTTAGGTAGAACTAGTGCTCTAAAGAAAGCCATTTTCGCTTTTGTTTGTTAACTGTGTATTTTAAACAGATTAGAGGATATTACTTGTTTTTGCAGCCAGTTTTACCGAACAATGTACAGTGGATAAATTTAAGCGATGGCTCACTGGGGTGTAACTAACTCTTAGTGATGTTAGTTGAGTTCTGTCGTTTATTTCAGCGATCAGTCCTTGCAGAATTTACTGTCCCACAGGACATCAACAATGTATCGAAGCCGCTTACTGGTACCGTTTCTTAGTTTGGTACTGGGTGAGTGTTGAAAGGACATCAGTTCCTTCCTCTGCCAATAAACGCAAAATTCTTGGTTTAGTGCTTCCTACTGATAGCAGACCACACTATACGAACCTAAGTGAACTAATAGAGATTTTATAACATTCCAATTTATATATACCAATTTGAATGTACGTGTGGATGCATATACAAAGAAAGGACTCATCGATCTCTGCAGGTAAGGACTGGCTTCAGAGCATATTCCTAAGTGGCTCCAAAAACAAATGGAATCTTCAGAACATATGAACACTGAAAACAGCAGACCTAGCTCTTCTACTGCGAAACATATTATAGAGACAGGAAATAAAATTGACGTTAACAAATCTCTAAACCTATCTATAAAACGTGTTTAGAGGAGGGCGCATCCTAAAGTTTGTGGAAGCCCTAGCTGGCAATTAGAAAGTTCAAGCCACCTTTATGCGTTCAAAGCAACAGTTCGTCATCACACTAAACCACCTTCCTTGGTAAATTTTGTTTTGATACCAGTCAGGGCAGATGTACTACTACCTCTGCTGTTTGGTTTAGTGATCTTCATTGTTATTTTGACCTTCAACATGTCCTTTTAACTTGACCTGTATCTATTTCGTCACTTCTTAACTCCTTACTGATTTCATATATATTCCTATGACAAGTCCGTGTGTGATGGATCAGATTGTTCGAAATGTGTTGTTCAAATACACATTTTACACGATTCAGACAAATTACGTCTTCTTATTGCTTTATCTAAATTCATAAAGGGAACTAATTGTTTTAAGCTCCACAGTTATCTCAGGTATTGAAAAACAATATCGCTTCCACGTGTATTCCCGTGCGTATATTTTAGCCGCATTTAACGAGTTACTTTCTGACTGATCTAGCAATGAATTTAATTCTAATGCTTGTTTTGACACACTTCCAAAATGTAGCATCACAATTCAGGTTCTTAAATAAAGTTTAAGAAGAAATAGTTTCACTGGATAACCATCAATCTTTCATAATCAACAACTGACTCACTGAAATCAGGTATTCCAGCGTGAATTGATAATTTGTGTGTTTATGCTGGTTGTTTTATAAGCACTACATGAAATTTAAGGTATAAACACTTCATCTTCTTTATTCATGCATTGAAACCAGATATATAACAAACACTGTTTTACTCTCAGAGTTGGTAACTAAAAAATGCGACCTTTACCAGTCTGATTACAGAATTTTAATATAATAAAAATACAGGCATGAGTTGTATATGATAAGTCAATTAAAAGTAGTGCTGTACTGTATTTCCTAATAATTACTTGTTGTTTCATCGAGAGAAAAAAAGTTAACTCAGATGACTCCTTGTTTAATGAATACATTGTCCCACGTCCCATGTTTAATTTCCCATTTAATTCAGAAAACTACCATGACAACGTACATGGCGTCAACAATTCTATCATTTAAACATTCAAATCTGATAGAAACCATCAATTTTAATGCATAAAATAAACATCAATTCATTGAATGTAGAAAGCTAAATATGTTATTGTTAAAAATCACGGGAAGTCGATTAGAAAAAACAAACAAAATAAAACAACTATCCTTGTTTATATATTGAAATATAAGTAAAACAAGAATTCTAGGCGTAAATGTGAATAACAGGACCCCCTGATGAATAAAAAATGACTTCTTTAAATGATAATCATTATTTCATATCTCTTGACTAGTTTAGCGTCAACAGGTGACAGTGTATTTCAATCTCTTTTAATGGCATGTACATTTGTGCAGGGAAATTGTAAAAACTGAGACGAAATGTAGAATTCAGACACTGTGGTAGAGTACAGTCCCATGATAGAATCAATAATGATGAATAGTACTGAATCCATTTTTGTTCTATGAAGTGAAATTAATGAAGCATAAATATCACTTACATTTAATGAGCGACAATATGAGACTTACCGATTTCAACTAAGTTACAGTAGACAGCCACTGGGAAATCAGACAGTACTGGATATCTGCTGTATTTT